AGGTGTGTATTGCTCATTATTGCTTAAACCATAGAAGACACGATTTTCAAGTTAACACATGAACTAGCAGCCGGTGCGTAACCATGGACAGCCTCTGGCATCTGTCTGGAAAGCGGACAATATTGAATATAAACACGTAGTCCCGCTGATAAGATCAATTGCTCCGAAAAGGCTACTGGCGTTGGCACGTGGCGCAGCAGGAACCGCATCTGTCAGGGCGTTGAGTGGGGTAATAAAGAGAGGGCATACACGCTGCAAACACACGAACACATCCTCCAGCCCCGTGAAAAGGTGGGGGCAGGTGGAGAACGTGAGTATGTTGTGACACAAAGTCGCTTTTTTTCTCCGCAGATAACTGACACGCGTCAGGACAGACTGGCAATTAAGTTTCCTTTTGGATGAACAAACACTGGCGTGTGTCGAACACAACCTTTATTGGTCACGCATCCAAAATATGGGACAATCAAGAAATTAAATCCCATTTGGGGCAGGACAGGTGTAGCCTACAGACTGTAGTAAGGTGAGTATAGGATGCACGTTTAGGTGCTCTATTAAGCTGCTAGGCATTAAGGGCAAAGCAAGGCTAAACAGGGAAGATTTGAATGGGCTATAAATATCACGCAGTGATTCCCCACGTTGGGGAAGTCCAGTCTAGTAAAGTACCGGGGTTTATCATGGAATGGATTCATTTCACCATTAATACCACTGCTGCTTCTCCCACAGTAAAGATCTTGCAGCTTTCCGTTGCCTAAGCTGCATATTCAGTTGCACTGTCACCTGTGGAATGGTCTGAAATGTACTGGGTTGCTGTTCCCCATGGTTGTATAACTGGGGAAAACATCACTGGGCGCATAACAACAGCGCAGTGCTCCTAGTAGGTGCATTCAGGGATGGAGTAAACAACAAGGTGGAAAACATCATGATACAACCACACTAATAAAAGTCACCAAGTATGATACTCGTTTTCAAATGCGACTCTTCGGTTTATTCGGTCTGTAACGCGATCTGTGGAAACTTTAAAAGTAGCTCATAATCATGCCAACATAGTCTCTGCCCTAACATTTTCAGCTCTGTCATCCTCGGGGAACTGAAGGGTCGAGCTTTATTGTGTGAGTCTGAAAGTTCACTGTAAACAGGACCTTTAGTTTTGTACACTATGGTGATGTTGGATGTTGATAAAGGAGGGGGGAATTGGTGGTGGGTGGGGGTATTTTTTAAAAGGTTGTAATCCTGCCCCACGTGGGGTTGTCAACAAGCTCTGTGTAACTGTCTGGGGACTTTTGCTTTCCTCACCCCGGCTGCTCTGAGCCAATGGTAGGAACAAGAGCGGAACAGACCGCCCCTTGCCGAGAAACTCCGCTGACCTACTATATAACCACCCACTGTCTGTTCCGAGCAAGACACATCACACAGAGCAACGCAACCTTGTCTGTTCACTGCAAGATCCCGATAACGCTTGGATTATAACTATGACTCTGGAGGAGATCAGCGGACAAGAGAATACGATGGAAAACGCAGATAGGTAAATATTTTACGCACAGATATACCATTATTCAAGCTGCCGTGTTGATGCTTTATATCTGTTTATCAAAATGTGCCCAGTGCCCTGATTATGTGTATTTTTCTTTGTGAAGGGTGCAAAATGCAGGCGCAGCCCTGGAAGAGCTGCTGGTCGCTGCAAAGGAGCAAGACTACCTGACAGTTGGAGTTTATGAATCTGCTAAAGTCATGAATGTGTAAGTATTGGAATTTATGAAGTGTCTGACTACAAGTGCAATTTTAGATTCGATGCATGCGGACGACAGAATATTTGTTGACCATGTTTCCTGTCTTCCCCCCAGTGACCCAGACAGCGTAGCGTTCTGCGTCCTCGCCACCGATGAGGAATACGAGAGTGACATCGCTCTTCAGATCCACTTCACCCTCATCCAGGCTTTCTGTTTCGACAACGACATCAACGTGGTGCGCGTCAATGACATAGAGCGTCTGGCCGACCTCGTGGGCGCAAACGAGACCGGCGAACCCAAGGACGCGCACTGCATTCTTGTCACGGTACGTTCCCGGGAGCCCCAGCAGCTAGTGAATCGTGCATGCATCACAAATTACTCCAGATTTGCATGGCGAATACAGTATCTGTTGCAGGTGTTCTTGTTCTAAATATGTCATTCCTTTTATTGTAGAGTCCCTGTGCAAATCCATGGAAGGATCCTGCTCTGGACAAGCTGGGTTTATTCTGTGAGGAGAGCCACAGTGTGTACGACTGGGTGCCCGCCATCACACTGCCAGAGCGCTGAAGTGACATTCCACTAAAAATGTTTCACATGATGTTGATGATGATGATGAAAAGAAAGTCAAGGAGCTGAGCTTCAACTGGGGGTGTCAGGCCTCATTTTTCTGGATTAAAAGGCTGTGACTGTAAGCCCCTGCAAGAGTGTACCCTTCCAGTGCATTCTGAGTCAGCATGTTGATTCTGGATTACCCTGGGCTTGGTGTTCAGAGGTCAAGTGTGGACTGGGTCAGGCGTGTGTTGAGTGGACAAGAAGCCTGATGACAGACATTGAGAAGGATCTGGACTGTACTGCACAGTGCAGAAAGAGTGCTGACTGCCTTAGCACTGTGGAACTGAGCAAAGAGACTGTGCAAGAAAGGGACTTATAAAAGTGTGGAGACTGCACTGAGTCTCACCAGAGGGGAACAAGGAAGATGCTGGTCCTGAAGAGGGTATCTGAAACTGTCTAAATGGACTTAACTTTCTTTGTCAGTGTGCAGCTATCAGGAAGTTCTTGGAATAAGTAGCAACTTTGCTCACAAATCCTGATCTGAGCTGTGTCTGTACCTGTGACACTTTCATGGACTATTATTTTTACTTTCAATTATACAGACAAATCAATGCAATATTCATTTGAATTGTGTTTATTTTTAAAGGTTTGTCAATAAACATTTGGAATCAAACTTATTCTCTCTTGCCAGAAATGTTATTTCTCCCTTCACATACTACTTGCACTCACCAAACCTGAGTGTGGGAAGTTACAGCAGATTGCACAGATCTAGAAGTATCAGGAAGTTGCACGACATCATCTAAAGTCAAATGTGGGTGAAAGGAAAGATGAAAAGATTGGGTGGCTTAGCGATAGACTAAATGGAGAAAAAGAGTGTAGAACAGTTACAACATAATGATGCTTGTGACATGTATTCTTTCCACTGACCTTTTACTGCTTGTAGAGCAGATGCTTTATATGACAGCTTGCACAACTGCTGCAGCCAGAATAGAGGACATGGCTGGGGGGTGGGGGGGCAAAGAGAGAGCGTTCTTTTGTGTCCTGTGGACTGGCAGCTGGGGATAGGCTAGTCTGTGTCAGTCAGTTAGAGGCTGTATAAACTAATTTTGCCATACTCAGGTTCAGAGAATCATTGCTAGTAAATCTACAGTATTGCACACATTTGGTTTTCATAAAATTTCAGTAATAAATCCTGGAATGATTGCCAAATTCATGCAAACCATTAGGCAACACACATGGCGAAAGTAATGAACAGTTATATGTTTTGTACTCCTGTACACATGCAAACACATTGAAATTGGAGCTTAGCTGTAGCAGCAAGATGGTCTGCAACTGATGGTCTGACTGACCGTCAGACCATCAGTTGCAAGTAAGGGGAAGTATGTGAGTGTTGTGGTTGATTTCGTGCTGGGGCTGACAGCAAAGGGCGGCCCACATCAAAGAAACAGCAAACTTCAGAGGAACTCATCTCACTTTTCTTGTCAGCATCTTGGTCTCCAGCCAATGACTGGTCACACCCTGTGTGTGTGTGTGCACACACAGCTGCACACAAGCATGGTGACCAGATATTTCAGATATATGGACTCGTACTGTATGTGCACAACCACACACACACACACACACACACACACACACACACACAAGCAAAGGGGGCAGTCCCTCTCTTCTAAGACTGTCAAGTAATTGGTCATTGTTCTAAGAATGAAGGAAGTTTTGCTCAGATAGAAAAAACAACAACAAAAAAGTTGTAGAGATTCAATAAAGGGACTTTCCATGGACATTAATACCTGCTGTATTGGTAGACATATGAGATATTCAAACTTCTATAAATGCCTATTAAACAAACAATTTTCTTACATACTGTCAAAGCTGTAGTTACATTAAGATCCAAAATGTTTTGTGAGACACAGCTGTGAAGGCCACTGAGACTGTTTGTGGTTGTTGCACTCTGGACTCTGCTATGATCAAACACAAAGCCTGTGTTTGAGTGAAAGTGAAATAAAACAAAATATCTTGTGAAAATGAATTATAAAAGTCCCAACCAATTCTCAGGGTCAACACAAATAAAATGGCTGTAAGGAATGAAAATAGAAAATATGTAGCTTCCATTTAGTTTTCAAAAGCAACCAAAACACTCAGCATCTGTACATGCACACTGAGGTGTGTACATGCACATTGAGAGCCGATGTACCAGAGTCAAATTCTTTATGTGTCTGACACACCTGGCCAGTAAAGCTGGTTCTGATTCTGATTCTGGTTCTGGCCTACATGGGTCAGTGTTCTTCAGGCAGCCTTTTCTGTTTTATTTCTTTATTTTTTAACCATAAAAAAGAACTTGAAAATAGCAGTGGGAAAATAACTGTGGGAAAATGTCTAATCTTGACCTGTTTTTAGAAAAAAAGCAATTTTAATGCCCTAAATAAGAGCAATTTTCTTCAGAATATAAATGTTGACTGTTTTATTATGTGCTCTGAGTGAACAAAGTAACGTTGGCTAAGTGTATTGTTGACTAAATCCTTGACCTACTTTGGATAAAATTACATTGATGGTCACTGCAGATTCATTTTTTGTGCTCTCTAAAACCCAATTTTTCCAGGCCTAAACTATCTGCTGTCTCAGCTCTAATCCCTGTAGCAGCAACTCATGTAAGCCCTATGTTTATATGTTAGGTTCCAATGTTTATATGTTATGGTACAGGTGCATATAGGCCAACAGGAAAAACAAAACCTCAGGCTGGAAAGCACTCCCTGCCTCTGCTGCATTTTTTGTAAGGAGTTCAGACACATTTTCTCCTTGTGTTGGCTGTGGTGCCAAAGTCTGGAGCAACAGTCCAGACTGCCGAGGCAGCCCAACTCTGTGCATAAGGTCTGAGCCAGAGATCTGGAGCAATGATAGACTGAAAGGAAGAGCCCAGACAGATGTGACTTAGAGATATTAGTTTTCAACTGTGGCACAGAAAGATGGTGAACATCAAGCAGTAGCTTACATCAGTGCTATTCAGACAGTATTCTTCTTATATGACGTGGTGATAATTATATTTTACATGGGCAATAAGCTCAGGCAAAATATTCAGTTAATGGCTAATGGATTTGCTCCTAGAGACAAAATTAATTTAAATGATTAAAGGGTGTTCAGCTGATAACTTCTATTCTTAAGGGGAAGGTTTGTGAAATACGCTTAGAGTAGCTTTATATGAAAGGGTTAGACAGAAGGATCAATATCACACTCATGTGGCCAATCAATACAAAGCCGAAGCCTGCAGTGCCTTTTGGAAGGTAAGAAATTCTACCTACCAGTACCTCAAAAGTTCCATAATTTATGTGCTATGTATCTGTTTAATCCCTACTTAAACCAGAGTGTAAAAGCAACAAAGCAGGTATAGTGACTTCCTGGAGTCTGTGATAGTTGGCTGACAACCTCACAGTGATAATAAACTCCAAGTGCCAGCTTCAGCTCCTTATTGAATGGACATATGTGAGTGGCTTCAGCTTCTCTAACTCTCAGCAAGAAATGCTTATTTCTCCGTGTTTATTGTACTTAAGTGCAAAATTATGTATAGACTGAATGTTTTCCACTGAGCAATCAATGCTTTAGTCCAGTGCCTGGTCTGCCGAGGTACATGCTGCAGCACTTTAACACTATGCCTGCTAAATCCGAAAATACTGTTTACATTCCCGCCACACCAGCATTTTTAGGTTTGTTGACACAAACACCACTGTAATTCCCAGCAGAAAACTTAGCCATGCCTGCCAAAGATAATCAAAGCACAATGTAGTCAGTAGTGTAAAAGCCTTTTGTGCAGAAGTAGGATTGAGGAGCTCTGATTATGCTAATGTTGGATGCCTTTGTTCTTAATATATTTGCCCTGCGATATTATTATGCCATGTAATGCTTGCTGTCTGGTGAAATGTTACAGTATGTGTTTCCATATTGGGATACGCAGAGATTCCCAGACTTGTGGTTCAAATGTAAATGATAAATGTTTCAAATGGACATTGGCAGAGTGATACTCCACCCTTCCCTGAGCCATTACTTTCATGGAGTACTGTGGTCCCTTCTTCCCATTCCCTTCGCCATCTCACTTACAGTAACCACAGCAAGATGAGATTACACGATGAGCCGGCAAGCAGCATCCCCTCTCACCCCACCCGGCTCTGAGTCTCTCTCTTTCTCTCGCATGACCAGATTGGTACCATGAGCTCATGACCCAGCTGGCTCTGGTAGGCTGAAGAGAGAAAGAGAGAGATATGGCCGGTGTTGGGTGTCTCTAATCTAACTATGTGTCACTCACTGGAGAACCGAGTTGCTCCCTAGCTGCTGCTGCTGCTGCTCTTGTTCAACATAGAGTGAGCTCACTCCTGCATATAGGCTGTGTGATGAGCCAGCACAATATACAACTTTCAGAGACCTTAGCTTCACTGTGTGGGGAATTTCACATCACTGTGGTGGCCAGGGTGATTCCAGTACAACACATGCACACACACTGAGGCTGCTGTTTGTGAAGTGCCACTGTCAGTCTGTCAGCATGACCTGACATAAGCGGATTTGAG